GGTTATAGAAACATTTTAGGCGAGAATTCTCTCCTGATAATACCCCTGCTTCGAAATCCGAAGTTGCAAGTGGAAGAGAAGGAGGCAGCAGGTTTATTTCTATCTATATGTGACTCTGAGCTCACTTTGAACTTCTCGCAGCTTGTGTCTACGACTACCACCCCCATCTCTTCGCTTCTTCGTGAATCCCCATCGCAATCCAGGCTCAATCTTATCTACTTGTCTTTCTTGTGATCCAAGCAGTGTATATTGCCTTCACACCGAAGCCTTACATCCTTGACATCCTCTTTTCTCCATCACTTCCAGCAGCCAGAACACGAAACCCTTGATTGCTGAACAGCCCCTGGACGAAGCGACCAACTCTCCGCTCCTCGTTCCCTCTAACTCGTTTAAGTGTCGGAAGATTGGTCCATCCTGTGGAACAGAGGGAAAAAACCCCTTTTACTCTTTCGCTCTCCTGTGACTGATAAGTTGCCGCTATCGCCCTGGTTTCCAGGAAAATAGTCGACATTGTCTGCGTTGTGAATCCTTCCGACGCTCCTTCTACCTTCCTAGGGATCTTTCTTTTCGAAAACAGAGGGGCGCGAGCCCCCGATTAACGATATTATTTCGTCGTATTGCTTTGAGATAAAAGTTTATTCTTTCGATTGTTTATATACTTCGGGTTTCACCTTGTTTTCGAAGCGTCGTCTTTTTCTTGTTGGTTATCGGTTTTTTACCCCACGCAATCCTGATAACAGATAAACAATGCCGTAAGTAAACAAACTTTTCTATAAACAATCCTCCGATATGGACTGCGACAAAGCTAGAGGCTTTGCCAAGTAATTGATGCGATGGTGGAGAGTCTCTTCGATGAGGTTGTCTACTCGGGCATCAATTACCTGCTGTGAAATTTGTAGTTTGTTATTGTTTTTGTGTTCATTTGCTCATGTATATTGTAGCATCAACATTACAATCGATCATACTTCGACGACTCAAGGGTCGTCAGAGTCTTCTATGTCAGAGGAAGAGGGCTCAAGCGGCGTCAATGTTCCATATGGACACCACCCGCAGCAGGCCCTACCCTTTTACCCTCAACACCCTAATTCCCATCATTCACAACATCCTCGGACGGATTACTCGGATTCGTTTCAAGACTGGGAGGACCTACATGGCGAAGAACTGGGGCCGTCTGATTCTGCGTCCCGGCCACGAACAGCAAACCGACAGCCTGAACAGCATCCACCCCACGAATCGCGCCGCTCACGACGGCACAGTCCTCCTCACCACCCAGGATCAATTCCTCCACCGCCCCACCACTCTTCACACAATAGGCATCACACAAGGCAGCCCGCTCCTTCCGCTCCACATACGCTTTCTGATAGTGATTCTGAGGATCTTCATTATCCTCGACAACCTCAGTCCGCTGGCCCTTCATCTCCTTGGGGATCTGGGCCGAGTGGTTCGCCAACTTATCCACCTGCGTCAGGCCCGTATCACGGTTACGATCGTGAGCAACCTCCACCGCCACAGCCAAGGGGTTACCAGAACCCGCTTGCCTTAGTTCCCGCTACCCCACCCGCACATCCGGGTCACCCAGGCCACCTCCCCGGCCCTAATCCCTTACCAGGTGGATCGAACCCTCTTGTTGCTTTCGAACACAACGGGTATCCTCCACATCATCAGGACCCTTATTCTCGGCATCCTGCTCAATCACACCCTGGTCACTACCCGGGTCATTCACCACCACACCCAGCATATCCTGGTCAACCTCAACACTCTGCATATCCACCAGGTCACGGAAGTCACGGTAGTCGCCGATCTAGTTCAATGCCGTCGTATAATCAATATGGACAGCCTCATGGCGCTGGATACCATACATCTCACCACCCACAGCACGGCCATTCAGGTCACCCAGGACACTCGGGACACTCGGGTCATCCGGGTCATCCAGGCCATCCTCAACATCCAACGCACGGCCAACCTCCAGTCTCGAATGCTTTGACTCGCCATCAACCGGATCCTTATGGATACTACTCTAACAGTCCTTATAGCCCATATGGCCCGAATCCGTATGGAGGTGGATACTTTACTTCTAGCGCTCATCCCCATCATTCTATGGGCCAGATGACAATGAATTCAATGATGGTTATGGGGCCACAAGGATATCCTATTCCGTACCCTATGCCGACTCAACGCTCCCCGAGTCCTCCCCCTCCGGTTGATGACAAGCCGCCGGAGAAGACCGAGGAAGAGAAGCGTGAGGAGGAGAGATGGGCGAGATTGCAAGAGGAGAGGAAGTTTAGACAAGAGATGATGGAGGAAGAGCGCAGATGGCATCAAGAGAAGTTAGACCGCGAGAGAAAGGCGGAAGAGGACGCGAGAGCCCGCATGGAGGCCGAGGCCGCCGCTGAAGCAGCTGCAAAGGCCGAGGCTGCCGCTAAGAAGGTTGCTGAGGAAGCTGCTAGAGCAGAAGCAGAAGCTAAGGCTAGGGCTGAAGCCGAAGCAGCCTCAAAGCTGGCTGCTGAGATTGCCGCTGCCGCTGAGAAAGCGCGTGAAGAAGCGACTAAGGAGGCCGAGGAGAAGGCTGCGGCTGCCATAGCTGCTGAGAGAGCTAAAGCTGAGGCGGACGCTAAGGCCAAGGCTAAGATCAAGCCGAAGCCAGTCAAGTTTAGAGATGCTGTCGGTCGGAAATTTTCATTCCCGTTCGAGCTTTGCAGGAAGTGGAGTGCATGTCCGCCCCTCATATTCCCTAATTCCATTGTACTAACTCTCTACAGGGCATGGAGGAACTTATCAAACAAGCATTCTTACACGTCGAGGTCATCGGCCAACATGTTATCGACGGCCACTATGATCTTCACGGTCCCGACGGCGAGATCATCCTACCGCAAGTTTGGGAGTCGGTGATTGAACCGGATTGGAGCATTACAATGCACATGTGGCCTATGCCTGAACCGGAGCCGGAACCGCCGGCGCCTCCCCCTCCCCCACCCGCGCCAGTCGAGCCAGAACCAGCACCAGCTCCTGAGCCTACCCCTGTGCGGGCGCCAACTCCTCCACCGCCACCACCACCGCCACCACCACCACCTGCTGAGCCCGAGCCCGCACCTGCGCTCGCACCTGCACCTCCACCTGCCCCTCCACCACCGCCTGCGGTTGAGGTAGTTGTTGTTGAGCCAGCTCCAGAGATTAGAGAAGCTGCGCCGGAGCCGGCGTACCATCACCCGCCTCCACTACCTCAGGTGCTCGCTGTCGCGCCGGAACCTCCTCGCCCGAAGCCTGTTCCGAGTATTCCGCCATTGCTGATGTGGACTGCTGGGCGGTACGGGTCTAAGAAGGGACGTCGTTAGAGACGGATTGTCCTCGCCAACTCTATTACCACATGTCCTGTTTGAATGTGCTAAATGTACAATTTCTATTTCTTCTACTTTTTTTACTTTTTTTTTGCATACCTCACTTTTTCACCTTTTGTTTCCCATTTTAGCCCATACCGCATTTCCCAACATTTCCATTTTTTCCTTTTCTTTTCGTTCCAAGAGGCAAAAAAAATACACTGGATGGGGCGGAGACAGGTAGGTAAGAACGTGAATAAAAGACGCATTTTTCCTTATCATGTTATGTTCTAACGGGTCGGAATGGAGGTGGAGTTTCGGTCTGGCTTTTTCTCTTCCCTTTCTCTTACTAATCGTATTGTATTTTAAGTTTGTGAAATTCTTTTTCTGATGAGGGTACCGTATGATATGTGTTATTATGCTGCGATGAAGGCTGGGGTAATGTTTGTATGCAGTTTTTTTTTTGCGAAAATAAATTAAAAAACAAATGGTATGATATTTCGCAGGGTTATTACACCCGTGGGGGGGGGGGCACTTCAAATAAGGTGCTACCCAAAACATCAGAACGTGATTGACTAACACGTTTAATCGTTACTGAAAAACCATCTTTTTGGCATTGAAAACCCCTACTGCGCGCGCACATTACCGTCCGGTTATTCAACGTTTCTCCTCTTCATTCATTCTTCTATGATACCTCCACAACTCATAACTAACCTCCTATGAGGCCCACGGGCCACCTGCTTTTTCAATTCAATCCCGCTCAATTCAATTCACATTCGCCCATGTTCATTACTTCTTAACTGACTTGTACCCCAGCTCATTGCAATGCGTTCAAGGCATCCCACACAGAACCCTCCCAATACCATTTCCAATTCCACCACCGCCAGGCCAAGCCCTCACGGAAAAATTAATTATCTAGCAGAACGGGAAGATGCAAATGCTCTACTAAGGGGGGGATCAAAGAAAAAAAAAGGGGGGGCTGTTTACAAGAAAGGTCTTAAGATGTGGAAGAAAGGAAACGAACGGGGAAAGTCAACCACGAAAGTCTTTCTTTTTTGAAACGAACGTAAAATAAACCCCAGCGAAACCCACAAAACTGTCGGCCAAAGAAAGCAAAATCCGGGAAGATTAAAAAAAAAAAAAAGAGGGAGAGAGAAACCTGTAGACCGAGTAGCGCAAACGATATAGGAAGCAAGTGGAATATTTTTAGAGAATAATCGGTAGCAATATAAAGTAGCAGGATGAGGGAGGGCCAGAAAAAGGGGTGTAATTAATATGCTCAGCATTAAAAGAACAATAACGAAAGAAAGGAATGATTAAATTCCGTATTTGTCATGTAGGACTATCGGGAAAACTTTTGCTCATCCCGATCAATCAGGTTCTTTGCTGCCAAAATTTCGGCTTCATCAAAGCCCATCCAGCCCTTCTCGTTTCTTCTAAACCTGCCCACAATTTGTAAAAGTTTCTCGGTGGCCAACTGGTTCAGGGATTCCATCTTTCGGAGAGTTCCATCCGAAGGCTTCGCCTGTATGAATTTCCCCGTAACAAGCTTCAACCCGTACCATCCTCTGAGATACCATTCACTCAGTTCTACCGATCGAGCAAAGTACTTGATAGCCTCCTCGAATGCCTCAGTCTGATTGGTGCCGCTAGCACCAGCAGAAGCGGAAATGTACGTCACCTCGCCAATACGAGCAAAGATATTATAGGCATTGGGTAAGATTAGAAGAACTTCTTCAAGGCAAAAGACGGACTGCTGGTAAAGCCCCTGAGTAAAATAGAGCGATGAGAGGTGTGCCCAGGACTCGGCATCATTGGGCGAATGAGAGAGCAAACTAGTCAATGCTTCAATGCCATCTTCAGTGCGACCGAGCGATAGCAAAAGCGATATACGGCGCTTTTCTATCGGCTATTTGGTTTATTTTGACACCATCAGATTATGAACTCGCCCAGCAGCGCGGATGTTGGGGATGAACGGGCGAAAATAAAATGGGAAATTTTTACCATGTTCGTCGGGTCCTCCTTCAATATATCCTGATATCGCTGCAAAACTGATTCGAGTTCGCCGCGACTATTGGAGGTAGCTTCGTCATAGAGACCTGTGAGTGCTTTCACTCGCGCTGAATCCACACCAAAGCGGCCTGATAGGCGTTGCAGACATACGCGGGCAGAGCTGTCGTCACCAGTACGGAGGCAAGAGAGAAGGAGCTGCTCGTAGATCAACCATGTTTCCTGTGTGTCCTTCGTGGATTCTGATGACGATAGGAAAGCGGGTGCTTGTTGAGATAAGTGGAGAGAGGTGGACGGATTTCGAAGCGGAGATGGGTGGATTGACAGGTAGGATAGGAGAAGCTTGAGCATGGCCATAATTGCGAGTATGTTTTGAGCGGGGATTACGGAGAAGTTAAGGTGGCCTTTGATCTCTGGAGGGTTTTGTTTCGGTTGGTGGAAGTTGTTAGGGGGAGATAATGGTGGGGAACGGGGAAAATAAGAAGGGGGACAAAGATCAATAGCAGTAAAGCAAAAGGATGAATAGACTGACCAGATATCTTGAAGGGGAAATTGGTGTTGTTGGCGGGTTTCGGGGAGTTGAACCTAACATCCCAACTTGCCAAGATTTCAATCCCTCTGAATCAATGAAATAGCAAGTGGGTTTCACTTATGGGGGAAGGATGACTAAGCTGGTTTGATGCGCAACTGCTAATGTGGTTTTGAGCCCCGCCGACTCCAATCCCTCGATCTCGTTATCATTATATCTCCCTCATCCCTCCCCCTCTTCCTTATCTCCAACCTTCTCTCGTCTCCTCCTTCAACATGTATGTATGTCCAACTGTTTGGGCCCTGATGATGCTTCTTCCAGATGAAAGATGACAAACTAACCTCAAAGGTGCCATAGGTTCGAAAAATCACTTTACGACCTAATTCGTGGTCTGCGATCTCACAAGGGGAACGAACGAGCTTATATGCTAGAATGTCTGAAGGAATGTCGAAATGAAGTTCGATCCCAGGATCTCGGTGCGCCATCTTGCCTGGAATCGGAGATTTATGAGGATTATCACAACTGACAGGACTTGTGAGATGTTTTTGGTTAGATATCAAGGCTGCGGCTGTTTTGAAGCTTGTTTACCTCGAAATGTTTGGTCATGATATGTCCTGGGCTTCTTTTCACGTCCTAGAGGTTATGAGTTCTCCAAAATTCATGCAAAAGCGTGTGGGGTATCTTGCGGCTACCCAGAGCTTCACAATAGAGACTGATGTGTTGATGCTTACTACTAACTTAATCAAGAAGGCCCGTTTTAATCTCCCGGTTTGTTTTCGTTATACTGATTATGGCTGCAACAGGATCTTTCCTCACCATACATTCCTGAAACAGCTCTTGCAATAAATGGTACCTCGCATATTGCATCGCCTTCTCTCGCTCGTGATCTTTCCCCGGATTTACTGTCGAAGCTTTCACATACATCCCCCCATATTAGGAAAAAGGCTGTGCTGGTGCTATACAAATGCTTTCTACAATCCCCGGAACTCCTCCGGACATCTTGGCCACGTTTACGGGAGTGTCTTAGCGATGAGGATGGAAGTGTTGTTTCAGCGACAGTTAATGTTGTGTGTGAGCTTGCTCGGAGAAACCCAAGGAACTACTTGCCATTAGCACCGCAACTCTTCAGACTGCTCACAGATCGTGAGAACAACTGGATGACGATCAAATTGATCAAGCTGGTACGTTGAATAGCATCACACCGCCTTATTTACATGCTCATCTTTCTTAACTAGTTTGCTACTCTCACTCCACTGGAGCCCCGATTAATAAAGAAATTAATACCACCAATAACCAACCTTATCGTGACCACGCCTGCCATGTCGCTTTTATACGAGTGTATAAACGGGCTAATATCTGGAGGCCTTCTGGCGGGTATTCAGGAAACTGGCGAAGGGGAAGAACTGGCTTCCGTTTGCGTCACTAAACTCCGGGGGTTTTTGGTGGAGGAGGATAGCAACCTAAAGTATGTAGGGTTACTGGCCCTGACGAAGCTTGTAGCAACCCATGCGCACCTCGTCTCGATACACCAAGATGTGATCCTGGACTGCATCGACGATGCGGATATTAGTATACGATATAGGGCGTTGGAGTTGGTGGTTGGAATGGCCAACTCTGATAGCTTGCCAGGTGTTGTGGGACGTCTCATCCGCCAATTAAAGCCTAACACCAATCGCACCGAAGAGGAATTTGTTGAGCCAGGGGCCACGTGTGGCGAAAGTGAAGACGAGGATATGGAGGAAGAAGTCATGCACCCTCGGAGAGCCCGGGGGGAGGCCGTTCCCCTCGAATTACCCGAAGAGTACAAGCGAGCTGTTATAGCCAGCATCGTAGAAATGTGCTCTCGGGATATGTATGCGAACGTTGGGGATTTTGGGTGGTATCTAGATGTGTTAGTACAGTTAATAAGATATGCACCCACGGCTTCTACATCACCTCTAGGGGATGAGGGCGATGAGGTGGAAGAGGAGGGCCAGGAAGAGAATGACAAGCAGGATGTGGGCGAGGCCATTGGAAAGGAGCTCCGGAATGTCGCAGTGCGGGTACGGAGTGTCCGAGGGGAAGCTGCTCGATATGCTGAAATGCTTGTTGGGAAACGGGAAGGAATGTTTCCGGCCGCTGGCGGTGGTGGCCGCCGGGTACTAGGGGCAGCTGGTTGGATCGTAGGGGAATACGCAGGGTAAATGGATCTTCTTAGCCTTTCGCATTGAGGGATTATAGCTAATACTTTAATCCTAGGCTACTTACCGAGCCCAATGAAACCCTATCAGCACTCTTACACCCTTCGTCGTCATTACTACCAGCAGACATATTAGCTATCTATATCCAAGCGGTTCCGAAGATATATTCTGTTCTTGCTGGGGCAGAAAATGCTCCATGGGCGCCACCTCGGAAATCCGCAGTCGCATTACTGACAAGCAAGATTATCAAATTCTTAGAACCCCTTGCCATATCTCCTAATCTTGAAGTCCAGGAACGAGCCGTAGAGTTCCTTGAACTTTTCAGACTAGCAGCGGAAGCAGTAGCCCAACAACCAGCTACAACTGAAGACGCTGATGAACAGTACGACGCTCCACTGCTCATCACCCAAGTTATCCCAGGAATGTTTCTCGGCTTTGAGCTAAACCCCGTCGCCCCCCGAGCTCAACGGAAAGTGCCTCTACCAGCAGGCCTAGACCTTGACGAGCCAATCAATCCATACCTCCAGCAACTGCTCTTAGAGTCTGAAAAAGACAGCTGTTTCGCCGGTGAAGACGAAGACGACGGCTTCCGGGAATGGTACTACCAGAAAGCAATCCCAAAACAAGCCAGTATCCCCGCATCTCTTGGTATCGACAGCGCCGCATTAAAGAACTTGTCCGCCGTTGCAAGCTACCAAAGCGGCGACATGAAAGAAGAGAACTATCTGGACAAGGACATCCTCGAGCGCCGCAAGCGAGAACGCCGGGAACGAAACAAAGACGACCCATTCTACATCGGTAGCACAGTGGTATCCGGCGGAGATGAAGAAGTCGACCTCGATAGCATACCAGTTATGAAACTCGACCTCGGAGACTCGAGGGTCCCTACCACACCACATCCACAGCCCCGCACCTCCCAACCAAAAAAGCAGAGAGAGAAGGTAGTAATAGCAGCAGATGAAGGAATCGAAAACGAGGGGGACGAATCCTCAACAGAAGAAGTAATAGAAATATCCAAACGGAAATCGCGAAAAGGACTGCTCCAGGTGGATAGCAGTGGATTAATGGGATACTCCCTCGATGAACCATCTGACTCTGCGGCTAGGCAGGAGGAAGATGTTAGAGTTGCGAGAAAAGAAGTCGAAAAATTCAGAGCAGAAATGGAGCGCGCGGCGGAGAGAGTTAGGGCTAGGATTAGCACTGAAGAACCGAAAGAGAAGAAAAAGAAAAAGAAAAAGAAGGGAGAGGGAGGTGATGGGGAGAGAAAGAAGAAGAAAAAGAAGACGGGAGATGCCAGGGAGGGTGTGGGGGGAAAAGCTAAAAAGAAACTCAAGAGAGGTAAGGAAGACCAAGGGGAGGCTGCTGAAGCGTAGCTCAGGTTAATCTATTTCTGTTTTGTGGAGGGTTGATTGGCATTTTTTCCTTTTCTCGGGACAGGATTCGCAGCACATGTTTTCGGTGACGATGAAGATGTAGGTATCATATATACATAGTTGGATTGCAGAGGGGGCTTGTTGGCAGGTAATTGATCAGGTAACTCGCTTCGCCACGTTGGTGCCAGTATGCTGGGGATGCGACAATATCTCCATAGAGGGTAGATTGAAAATAACTGTTTCCGTCAGGGATCAATTGCGAAAGTTTCAGATATGCGAGGGAAAGGCCATTCGAGGCTCCCATAATTTTTTATCCTTTAACGTGCTAGCCGAGATCGACACTACCCCAGACGCGAACACAGTACACCATCCAAGCCAACGACAAACCAAACTATCCCAACAACTCCCCCACACTCATCTCGTCCAAGCTCTCTCCCACAAACCCGAGCCTCGAGTGATCGCTCATGACTACTTTATTATAGTTCTTAGACAAAATTTAGCGCGTGTCTGGTCGCCACCCCAAACCTTCTAAACTAGTTGAAACTTGTCTATTGTGACGAGAATGTCAAGATTTAGGGGAAATGGTCGTAACTTGGAGTCTATGGACTTCTAAAATCGAGGGTTTTTTTTAGAATAACTAGTCTACCCTTTCGTACAAGTATGGGCTGCTATTCGTGTCAAGGTTGTATCATATTCGAGCACGTAGCTAGCCACCACAACCTGGCACGAGTACCGGTATAAAAATTAAGGGCGTGTTGGGTCGTCCAGAGTTTTTCAAACCTTGATAGTCAGAAATAATATCTGATATTAACAAAAACATGATTTGCAGGTTATGATACAATTCTTAAATAATTGCAAGTAGTCACAATTGGCCACTTTCACATTCAAGGAAGTGTGTCTGATCGAAAATCAATTCCAAAATGGTCATTCGAAGAAAAGCCAGAATAATTACCGTCAGAAATTTATTGGCACTCGTATTTGCATAACTTTTTTTTATTTTTTTTTATTTTTTACTGCACTATTAGTGGTTATAGTAGGTAAGATCACAGAATCTTATAAAGACAAAGATTGTTTAAAAAGGCTTGTTGCAACTTGGTTTATTTATGACGACTAAGAGTGCAAAATATTTAAGTAAAAGACTTAGTGAAGATTTGAAGATAAAAATTTAGTAATGTTATATTGATAAGATCTCTTCTCCATTGCATAATAATTGTTTTAAGTTTGAGGGACACTTCAATTTTTATATCCAGTATCTGAGTATTTGAAATGATCCTACTTCTTTATAATTAGTTATTCAACAGGTAATGACTTTACCTCCTCTTTTCTCTTAATATCTTAATAGCTTAGAGAACTCTTATCTTTGTTATCACTTCTGATAACAATGATTGTTTTGTACTTGCATTATCTCCTGTAAGTGAGACCTCTTTCTCAAGTAGCATTATCGAAGATATGTATGAAGTATTGATTCAACTTATCTTATATGAAAGAACTTAAGTGGTTAGGTGAGGAGTCTGTCCCAGAGGTCCTTTTATTATTATTATTATTATTATCCTTTTATTTCTCCAGTTCTACATACAGTAAGGTCTGAGGGTCCAGCTAGCTAATGCTATGGATACCCTCACCTCCACCCTACCTTGTTCTCCAGCAGCCAGAAGAAAAACTGTGAAACTAGCAAGGCAAACATCAGTAGTCAGATGCCCGAACCTCAAATCCCATGACTTGAACATGAAGGAGTCTTGCTTAAAGCCACTGATACCTAACCAGCTCTCGCTGTAAAAAACTCCCCCATCAGTCTCCTGCATGGCTATCTACAAACAGTAAAGATAAAAAGCCCAGAAACTTATTCTTCAAAGCAAGGAAATTTCCCAGCCCCACAGTCTACCCCATACTGAACAGAAGAAAACTCAAACTAAAGAAACCCTAAACCAAAGACCAAAGTCATCTTCTCTCCTACAATGGCCAGATGCCTAGCCAGACTATTTCTGATCCAACCACACCTTGTGAAGTCGAAATGGTGAATAGGTAACTATGCATAGGTGTTATAATGTATACCTTGAGTATATAGCCTATATGGGTAGATACGAGACACCGTAAGGAGAGAGTGCCTACTATAAGTAGAAGGTATTAGCAGATACCATCAGCAGAGCTCCAGGCTGTCTGTCCGGGAGGGCCAATGAGGCTATCCAAGGTAGCAAAAGAGAGTGCTGTAGAAGAGTATCAGCCAATTGTAGTAGGATACCAGTTGACATGATCGAAGAGAAAATGGGAGGAAGGACTAAAGGCCCTAGTGCAAACCAGACTACTACTGAACTGTAGCCATATTACTATGTCTCCCATGTAGTTCCTTGTTCTCTGAGAGATAGTGTCACTTAGGAGAGGGGATCCCACCAGCGGTAGGAAGGTGGATGGGGGAGGAGAGGAAAGTGACTGAAACTTAAACTGAGTGACTAGGAGAGTATGGTCTAATCTTACTGGGAGACAGACCCAGAGGTGACTAGTCGAGGCGTTTCCCCATGGGAATTGTGCAAGTAGGGAGAAAGTCATCTACTACTTCCAGCGCTAACTGAAAATGAAGAGAAGATGCCAACCGTCCCAAAGCTAAGCAAGTACCTATTAAGGAGACAGGCCTATTGGACGAGTCCAGATAATCCCTCCTATTAAGCGGACAAGAGACTAGCGGGGTAAAGACAGGAGAGGATGGAAGAGTTAACCATACCCCTAGGCATGAACTATTGAGGGGGCAGAGGGGAGAGAGGTGGCCCATGATAGTTGATGTGGTATTGCCAAACTACGTAGAAGGAAAATAGGAGCGACAGAGTGTGCTGTATCAGAGGTACTTTTATTATTATTATTATTATCATTTAATTCCTTATTTTAAGGTACAAGAACATCACGTACAGTACTAACTATGGCATTAAGAAAACTCCTGCACCCCTGATTAAGAGAAAACCCATACCTCCTAGACCATCTGGTATGGGCCTAACTGCACACACTCCAATGGCGATCAACTCAGGTGCCCGCTCTATAGACCTTATAATATGAAAGCCAAGAGGTCTTGCTTAGAAGCCAACCACATGCCCAAGAGGATTCCTCGCTTGAAAGACCCCCCTCCTACTAACTACTTGTAGCCAACAGAAAGAAGACCAAACAAGCTATGCAGGAAAGTATAAGGAAAAGCTCTACCTGTAAACTACCAAAAACTATAAAAGAAAGTAACTACTACCTACTAAACTGCCAGGATGGTGTTGATAAAAAACCACCTGTGAAGTTGACAGCTGGTGACGATCCTAAAGGCCAGATACCCCCAACCAGCTAAGCTGCAGATGTAGTACAATACTATGACTTTTCAATTGAGAACCAGGTCCTCAGTGCCAGGTCCAAGCAGTGGATATTTGGCAGAGAAAATGCCGCCCAGCAGTAGGATGCTAGCTAAAGATCAACTGTAGGCAGGCAATAAGCCGGAGCCCCAGAACAGCATGGGGCAGAGAGAGAAAGTAGTAGTGTATTAACCAAAAGAGGTAGAGGCAGTAAAGTGCAAGCCAATGCAATCACAATGCAAGGTGGAGGAAAGACTAAAGGCCTCAGAGTAAACAGGACTATAAAAACCAAACTAGTGCTATTTTACCATGTCTCTCATATAGTCTCTTGTTCTGGGAGAGATATTGTCACTTAGTAGAGGGGATCACAGCAGCGGTAGGGATTCATTGTAGTGAGAGCAGGAAGGTGAATGCAACTTGAACTGAGCAACTAGTAGGGTATGGTAGAATCTTACTGGAAGACAAACCCCGAAGTTACTAACCAAGGTATTCCTTAACAGAGATTGTACAAGTAGGGAGAAAGAAGTCTACCACTTCTAGTGCTGGCAGGAAATAAAAAAAGGAAGCTGACTATGCTAAAGCTAAGCGAGTCCTCCAAGTAAGACAGGACTACTGGGTGAGGCTTAGATAACTCCTCTATTAAGAAAACTGAAGACAAGCCAGGAAAAGGATAGAGAGGCCGTCGAAGAGAAACCATACCAATAGGCAGGAACTATCCAGGAGGTAGAGAGGAAGGTGGATAGCCTACGATAGTTGACTGTGGTGTTGTCAAACTATATGGAAGGAAAATAGGAGTGATGAGGTGTGCTATACCATTGGTTACTTTTTATTATTATTATTATTATCATATATTCATTGTTAAGGTACAAGAACTCGTATGCAGCACTAGCTATGACAAAAACAAAACCTTAATCTCAAATCAAATACAAACAAAGAAAACCACACAAGTACCTCCAACTAAGGGGAACAACTTATATCACAAGAAGCATAACGCTAAATAAATAGGGAAACAATCAAACAAAATAAAAGAAACCTATTACTAAGCAGAAGAAACAGGAGAAACTTTTCCAACTTCTGAGACTAACCAGAGGCTGAAGTGGTAGATGAAAGAACAGGACTGCAGGTAATCTAAGATGGAGGGGTACAATCCCTAAATGTGGGCATATCCGAAAGGAAACTGGCTGAAGTGGTGGAGATGTAGATGGCCAGGCCATCTGGGAGGACTAGTGACAACCAGAGGGGCTCATCCTTATACAGGCCTGTAGCAGAGGTTATAATGAGACTTCATGGAGTACAATTACAATTAGCCAAACCTATGCCCATACTGGTATTAAGAGATTACTGTAGTATGAATGTTGGTGGACTAGAGTCTACCCAAAAGAGTTACTGTTAGTTAGATACCTCAGTTGGACATGCTATACCATACTAAGAAGTACATAAGTACTAGTAAGGAGTAGTGGTTACCTGTTAGGAATACCAGAACCCTATACCTAGGAACCACCCTAAGTAGGGTAACCCCACTCGGAATCAGAATCTCTGGTCTCCAACACCCCGCTCCGGCTCCCTTACAGGGCCTGCACGTCATCATATGTATCAATCTCAGTTGTGTCCTGTGACTATATTACCACAGAATTGAAGGTGTCAGAATAACACCATATACGTCGTTGTTGTCCATCCGACCGG